CCTAGCAGGGGACAAGATGGATGGACCCCTCAGCTCCGGCTCAGGACCAGGCTGGAGACTCAGGATAAGGACTCCTCCCCAAATGACATCACAGTACATAACACCAAGGGCACTTTATTGAGCTCATTTATAGTCAGATGTGAGTGTGCAAGCTGCTATGGACAAGACAAAGCATGAAGTCAACAAGCCAAAATGTAGGACCCATGATGGAGGGCAGGGGACTCAGGCCACAGCAAGGGCAGGAACTAGTAGCCTGGATGGTTCTTAATCATCTCTGCAGCGGCTTGTAAGCTCATCACTGTGCCCGTGGCAATAAGAATGATGAACAGGACGATCACCAGGAGGCTGAGGACCAGAGCGAAGATGTTCAGGCACTTGGCAGTGGACGCGTAGCTCTGGGCTCCTATCACGTCGCCCACCATCTTCCTGTCCCTGGACTGGAGGAGAACAGATGATGACGGGGTCTGGAAGGGATCTTCTGGGAGCCAGATCTGGGTGTGACACTCAGGTGTCTCTGGCCCTTTATCCACCGCACAGCCTACATCATCCAGGCCCACGTGGATGGCCCACACCACTCACTGGTGCCCAAGCAGAACCACTCCTATCCCCTCCCTGAGGTGGCCAGGACCTCCTCACAGCCCTTCACTCCCCACAGGGGCCTGGGGCTTGTCTCTCTCAGCTGTGGTCCCAGCACTGACCCCTCCTCCACCCTAGGTCTCAGAATGAGGACACTGTGTTTTCTGAGCCAGTCTGGGGGACCTAGGCCTGGAGGGGGGCGGGGGAGTGATGACTGTCTCTCAGCTTCAGGGGGAAGGGGGGGCAGTGGCTGATCACCCCAAGCAGCCCTGCAGCATCTTCTTTGAAGACTTGTCCTCCACCACAGACAGACTCACGCAACCCCTTACCACCCCAGTGCCCACTTCCACCCTGTGGGGGCTCTCGAAGTGCGGGCACATCCACATGCACCGGCACACGCAGGAGCTTGCTCCCCCAGGCCCTCCTGGGGGGTGTGCACCCCAAGTGCCCAACACACTCTATTGGAGAGTCCTGTGGGTAGGCGCGCGCACACACGCACCCCCAGGGCGCGCAGGGCCCCAGCCCCATCCGCGCAGAGGGCGCCCCAGCGCACGCGCGCTCACACGCACCTTCACTGAGTAGGCGAAGGCCGCCAAGCCCAGGCAGCAGCAGTTCAGGAAGAGCGTGTTGAAGAGGGACCAGACGACGTGGTCCGGAACAGCGATGTCGCTGCGGATATTGATCACCGTGGACCTCACGGGAGCTGGCCCGAGGGGCTCCGGGCCCAGGGACTCCCCGAGCACCACCTCCTGCTCCTCCTTGAGCACCTCATAAGGTGGGGGGAGGCCGGTGGCTGCGCGCGTGAACAAGGGCTGGGCAGCGCGGTTCATGGTGCGGAGGAAAGCGGGCGGCAGAGCGCGAGACCCGGGCGCAGCAGGTCGGTGCTGTTCGGGCAGCGATCCCTGGGCTCCCTGGCAGTTCCGACTTCTCCGAAGTTTCGATTTCCTGGTGCTGCGAATTGGGGATTGGTCACCGCTTGGGGAGGCGGCCCACGTTCCAGAGCACCAGTTACTCCAGGGC